CCCCCCACCCAGCGACAAAGCTCAGTGGCACTTCCTCTGCCGCCTGGCAGGCCGCCTGGCCCAGCCCCTTCTCTAAGGAAGCGCATTTCCTGCCTCCCTGGCCTGGCTGGATGAGCCAGGAGCTCCCCTCCGCTGCCGGTCATACCCCAGCCTCCATCTGGAGCCCAGACTGCTGCCGTCCACGGGAGCCCAGCAGCCCCTTCCCGCTCATCCCTCGGCCAGCGACCCCCGGCCCAGCCCTGCGCCCTGTGCCCACTTCTCCTGACCAACTTGGCCGCCACCTTAGAAGGCTGGAGCAGGGACGCCGTCGTTCCGGCTGCCTGCTCCCTTTGGGTCCCCACTTGAGCCCACGCCGACCCCTGCTCCTGCCCGCAGCCCTGCCCTTGGACACCGGATAAAGCCCAGCGAACAGATCCCCGGGTGGACAGCATGGACCGCAGCACACTCTACCCGGTTGTGGCCCTGCTGGTGGCCCTCTGCAGCCTCAGCCCCACAAGTAGGTGTCCAGGGACCCAGGGTGGGAAGACCGGACTCTTGAGTCCCAAGCTCATGGGCAATGGAGCTGTCCTAGAGGGTCTGGAGAGCCCAAGGCAAATTACATAGGGTGACCAACCATCCTGGTTTGGCAGGACCAGTAGCTTTCAGCCCTAAGAGTTTCAGGCAAACGGAGGTGAGTTATTTACCTTAACCCTGGTCTCTGGCCTCTGGCCTCCCTGCTTCTCCCCAGGAAGCCCAGGTCCCAGAGTGCTGTGCAGCCCCAGAGAGTCTCCTGCCCTCTCTGAGCCTTGAGTTTCTCATCTGAGGGATGAGTGTGAAGGAGGGCGCGAGGCCTCACGTTTGGACCGGGCTCTAGGCTGTGGTTACTTCCTTGTGGTGTGATCTTGGGGAAGGATCTCCGGCCTCTGAGCAAAGCGGGTTGGAAATGGAAACACACTCACCTCGGGCTGCTGGGAAGGTCTGTGTGGAGGCAACGCTTGTAGCTGATATCTCTCGGGCAGGCTGGCTGCCTCCAGGTTGTTACTGTCATTGTTTTATGATTAGCTAAAAACCCTCCACCCTTGCCTTCCCTGGGGCCTGTGAGCCACCCCCAGACCCCTTTTAAACGGAGGGCTCTCCCCGGCTGCTACCCCTGCTCTATGCCCCAAGAAGTCTGCAGAATGGGGGTACAGTCCCAGACGAGGGCTTCTGTAGGGGCTCCTCAGCCTGTGGGCTTTTCCAGGGGGCCATGGCCTCTGCTGCCTTCTGAAGCTGACCAGATGAGGGGCCACAAGGAGCTGCGGACTCCCAGCCCACTTACTGTGGCCTCACTGTGCCCTGTGGACACATCCACCTGAAGCCACAGGATGGCCCTGTGGACGCCCCTTTAGCCACGGCGCACCCAGGAACTCCCTAAGGGATCTAGGGGGGCGGTGAGAAGTGGAGCAGCAACAGCCATTCCCTCCCTACCTTACCCCACCCCAAAGCATTTTAAAGTCCCTAATCCTTGGTCTGTAAAGTGTTTACCGCTACTCCAGCAGGGTTGCCTAGTTGGTTGGAGCGTCTTCCCGTACACCAAAGGGTTGTGGGTTCGATTCCCGGTCAGAGCACTTACCCAGGTTGTGGGTTCGGTCCCCAGTTGCAGTGTGTACAGGAGGCAACCGATCAATGTTTCTCTCTCCTTTTCCCTTCCTCTCTGTCTAAAATCAGTAAAAACATGTCCTCAGGTGAGGATTAAAATGCTTACCGCTGCATCACTGATAGACAGAAACGGAGCCTCAGACACTAGTGACTTAGCAGGGATTTGACCCCAGGCCTCTGGCTCCCTGGAGCTCTTGCTTCTAACCAGGGTGACACAGCAACCCCTCTTGATACAACTCCCAGTCCCCTGCAAGATGACTGCCATTATTGCCCTAGTTTACAGGACAGGAAGTGGAGACTGTGGCCCACCAAGTTCCCACAGCTCCATAGGAACCCTACCCGAGCTCCCCGGTAGCTGCCCTGCCTTTCTCCCGCAGCCCCCACATTTCTAGCTTCATAACACTCTCTTGCTCTTGGTCGTCAGAGAAAGATCTGTGCAGATCTTTCTAGGATCAAAGGCAGTGGTGTGCCAGCAAATAATTAACAAGGGCGAGGAGTAGGGCGTAGTTGCGCTTACTAATTTCCGTGGTGTAAATGTTCCCAAATGGCTGATTTCAAGCTACCAACTCACCAAACTAGGAGTTGGTCAGAGGTGCCCAGCAGGACACCCTTATCTAGTATTTCCATCACCCACATACCACAGACGTAGATAACCTCAACAGCACAGATAATAATGAAATGAAGTAAAATAATTATGAAGTAAGAAATATGATCTTTATTATCTTTTTAAAAATATTTATTTCATTGTAAGGTTATAAAATTTAATTTTTAGTAACAACTGTGTTTAACAGCCGGTTGGCAAAACGCCTGATAATTTGTCAATCTGCTCCTGCGAGCAGGTACTGGCACCCAGTGATCACAGGGTTCCAGGGCATTCCAGCCATCCAGCGCACTCACAGTCTGGGGAACTGAGGCCCATAAAGGGCGATGGGGGCCTGGCCAAGGCATGGAACCCAGATCTCCATGCTGGGGGATGGGGTGAGTTGAGGATGACCCAAGCATTCTCATTCAGGCTGGAGGGGGTGCAAATGGGTACAAACCAGGCCCAGCCTTCTGGGAACACAGCTGGGCATAATCTCTCAAAAACTATAACTTGAGATAACAGTCTGACCCTCAGAAGTCAAACCTAGAGAGTTACCTGCCCAGCTCTGTCCAGATGTATAGTGCCCAGGTAACTATAACAAAAACCCAGGAACTGGAGACCACCCAAGTATCCATCAGCCCAGGCCCCAGTAAAGTAATTATTATGCAGTGGAATATCATGCAGCTGTTATTAAAAAAAAAACACACACAAAAAAAAAACTAGATGTATGTCTTCACTGCTGTGGACAGTTATCTGGGACATACTGTTAGGTGCACAAACAGCAATGGTTCATTTCTTAAGAACAAAGCAGTAATAACGCACAATATTCACGGAGAGTCCTGAGGTCACTGTTTTGCTCTCTAGCATCAGGCTTTTCACCTAAGACACGTTTTCGTCATGTTGGAATTATTTTAAAGAACAAATGGCGAGATTTTTAAAGAGCAATTTAACTATATATTCACTTCAGTTTGCTCCTCAAAGAAAGTAAATAAGGGGGGTGGGGGATTGTTAGCATGCCGGTGGATTGCTTACTAGTTTCTCTCTAGCTTTTAAAGGTAATTTTAATGTAGATGGGTTAATATTCCAGTGTCTTGTGTAAACTTCTTAGGTCCCAGAGGTTTCTCTGTTGTCATGTGGACTCCATAACCATCCTGTTGTGGATCTGGAATATTCTCTGCCTTAAATGTGCCCTCTGTCATTTGCCTAATAAATTCTCTATTGTTGAATATTTAGGTGGTTTCCCTTTTGGGGTTAATTATAAAACCACCTCGGTCCACATTTTTGGTACATGCACATTTTCCTGTATTTTGTAGTATTTTACTTGGATAGAGTCCCAGAAGTGGGGGTGTTGGGATTTGTGGCCCATGTTGTGTGGCTGGGATCAAAGAGTGTTTCCAAAGTGAGGATCAGTGTTTACTGGAGAATGGGCCAGAGGCGGGACTTGGAGTCCTTGTGCTACTGGCCACCTGTGTGGGGGTCTGGGACTCTCCAGAGAGAGGGCTAGTGACACAAGACAGAGACCACAAATATCCATGTCTTACAGGCTATATTCTGGGGCAGCTTCCTTTTTATTTATTTATGTATGTATGTATGTATGTATGTATTATTTTTAATCCTCAACTTGAAGATATGCTTTTTAAAAATTGATTTTAGAGAGAGAAAAAGGAAGAGAGAGAGAGAGAGAAACACCAATCAGTTGCCTCTCCTATGTGCCCTGACCGGGAATCGAACCTGCGACCCTTCAGTGCACAGGGCAATACTGCAACTGAGCCACCCCAGGCAGGGCAGGCAGCTTCCCTTTTGCCAGGAGAAAAAAGCAGTTGGAGCAGGAGCTGTGTGAGCCAGGAAAGCTTGGGTCTCTGGAACCAGTGGTGAGATGGCCATTAAGATTCTCTCTCACCCTGGCCAATGTGGCTCAGCGGTTAGAGTGTCGGCTTGCACACCGAAGGACCATGGGTTTGATTCCAGGTCACAGGCACATACCTGGGTTGCAGGTTTGATCCCCAACCCCAGTCGGGGCTTGTGTGGGAGGCAACCAATCGATACGCCTCTCCCACATTGATGTTTCTGTCTCTGCCTCTGTCTCTATTCCCTTCTCCCTCTCTCCCTGTCCCTCCCTCCCTTCCGCTCTCTCTAAAAATCAATGGGAAAAATATCCTCGAGTGAGCATTAACAACAAGAACAACAGAGATAGATTCTCTCTCACCTCAGTCAGAGGGCAACGCTAAGACCCAGAGGGAGAGAGAGGCCCATCTCTCAAGGGCACAGATGGGTCAATGCTGGGCCCTCTGAGGACAGGCCTGGTCTGTTTGCTCCAGGGCCTGAGAGGTAATCTGGGCAAGAGGGAGGGAACCACTTGTGTGTCCACAGTGCATCAGGCAGCTCTTTGTCTCTAGACCCAGTTTATAGATGAGGAAATCAAGGCTTGGGACAAGTGACAGGTCCAGATTTCAACCCCAGGCTGTCTGCTCTCAAACCCAGCTTCTTTTCTCTGCACCTTTGGAGGCCTGATGTTGGGGTTTGGAGAGCTGATTGCCCTGGCTCTGGGCCTTCTCCTCCTAGCTCCAGCCCCGGCTTTGGGGCATCAGCCCTGGAGGCTGAAAAGGACACTTATCCAAGGCTGAGCTGACTTCAGGGCCTGGAATGGGGTGGGGAGAGACAAATATAACAGCCAACATTGATTCAGCATGTACTGTATGCCAGACGCTGCTCTAGACCTGTTACATGTACTATCAGACTCAAGTTCACAAAAGCCCGATGAAGCAGACACTACTGTCAACCAATATTTTACAGACGAGGAGACTGGGGCACAGGCCAGTGAAGGTATTTGCTTGAGTATTGCAGTCCAGATATGAGCAGCTGGTGCTTGAACCCTGGGCCTAACCACTGCACCATACTGCCTCAGGGACGGTGGCAAGGATCTCTGTTGCCAGATCTTCTCACCCTGGGCATTCAGTCCCTTTCCTGTACCTACAGTGGCCCTCCCACCTAGAGCGCATCTGGATCAGTTCTGATGAGATTTTCACAATAGGGTTTTGAAGGATGAATAGAAGTTGACTAAGTGGTCAAATGAAGGAAGACCATTGATTTGGGAAAGGGATGGCAGAGGCAATGAACAAGGTCTGTTTGAAGGCACAACTCACATCTCCCCACTGACTGGGCATAAATAATCATGACCGCAGTTGCCAATTCCTGAGCAACCTTCGTGCATTGGAAGCCAATTTAGCACCGTGTACGTGTCATCTTACCAACATTCTCACCAGCTCCACGAGAAAGGTATTATGATGATCACCATC